CATGCACCTAGTACTAGATTCTTGAAAGCAACCTGCCTGGACTTCCTTTTTCGTGGGTGGGGCAAAGGCAAATTCGGAGACAGAAACCCAGGTTAGCACGAAGTCAAAGTTGGCCACAACCTGCGCATGTGCATAGGGAGTTAAAGACTCATGACGACTGGTTCAACTACCAGCTAGCTAATTGTAATATACATTACCTTTAAGAGTGGCCTGGGCTTCATCAATGAAATTGTCGTTGATGTCAAGGAAGGAGAAGTGGAGGGGAGCCTACAGGAAAAATTAGGACAACTAAGAATCCCACACAATTATATCCAGAAATGTGCCTTCTTGTTTTTCCGGTTTCTTTCCAAAATCTGCAAGCGCTCATTGATGAAGTCAGTGGTCAACTTGACCTCATAGAACTCCTGACCAACCAAAGTTATTGCAGGAGACCCATTTTTCTCGTTCAACTTGCTGCCGGCCTTCAGCAGCTCCACTTGCTCAGGCTTGGGCTTGCTATCGGGCATCGCGTGGAAGCTACAGCAAACACAAACCCAGCTAGCACACGTAGAAAATCCTTGAAGCACTTGAACCTCATTTTGCATTAAATGTTCATGCTGCTTCACCTTGGTGCATTTCCCCGCACCTTTGGGCCAACAAATCATTGAACAATCCTGTGCAAAAAGCTCCAACTGGTTGCAACTGCCAAGAACTGTGACGACTAGATCACTAAATTGAAAAGGGTGCAGAAGGCTGGGCACCTGGACCATTCTCATTGGCCCATCCTTAACGCAAGCCAGATTAGGGAGAAGAACAACTGTGATTAGACACGTGCTAAGATTCCAGCTTTTCCTGAACGCTTTGGCCCCAGCGCGCATTGAACCCAATGGCTAGTGGGATTGGGATCGTCAAATGTCATGATCAGGCATGAAGTTGCGCCTGAGTTGCCTGAACAAAAATATATGAAGATTCCTGAATGTGCTAACAACAAGGTTTAACGATGTTGTTACTAACATCAAAGTTAAACTTTGTCGAAGACCCGGTGGGTTAGGTTCCTTTTGCTATTAGGTCCCCAAGACACTTCCAAGCCCCGCTGCCGGGCATCGTCTAGCTCCTGGCCTTGGTCCCGTCACTGAGCGACGCATGTCGGCAGGTGGATATCTCACTTTGGGCATTGCCGGTGGCACCTCAGGGTTGCTGGCTGGAGGAGTGGCCTCGGGAGGAACCAAGTGATGACAGCCGAACACAATGGCGTTGTACACAATGTAGACTTTTGATTAATAAACCGACCCACTTGAATGCACGAACTCGCGGGCGGTCGCACGCACCCACGCTACCCCTTGCCATGTCTTATGGCCGGTGTAGGTGGGTTCTTGGTGTGAAACCATGCCTACCTGACAGAAAGAAGCATACACAAAAACAATTCGCTAAAGGGAACCAGGCGACTACGATGGGTGCAACCAAGTAGGGACATCACGGATTCACGAGGCACCTAATTTCGAAAGCAAATGGAGTGAATTGCAGGTGCGAGAACATGGTAAAGGTCAACCACCTAATTTGGGCCAGGGTGCATTACTTCATCCAAACTCTTCTTTCGAAACATGAGATAGCATAGATGTTGTGTACATTTCAGGCCATCCGGGCCGGCTGAGTAATTGTTCCATCCAGTGGGGGCGGTGACCCACCGACCCACTTGAATTGGACATCCTCTTCACATGGGGGCTTTATCAATCAATAGTCTACATGATCTTAAACCTAACATGCAATCCGCCAGCAGGAGGTTCCCTCGCTTCTTTTTCCGTTTCACCCGCATGGTCTTCGGACCGCTTGATCGGCTCTTTGTTTTTGAGTTGTTCGGGGAGTGTACTTCTGCGCAGAAAGGCAATCCGGCAATCCTTAATGAAGGGATAGGTCCTTAGGTGGTAGGGAGACCCCAAAACCGGAGAACATGAATCAAACAACACTGTATACAAGTCCCTAAACACACATGTATAGTATCTCTGTACATGTGTCAACAACATTGGAAGAAGAACATTGGCCCCAGATTCCAATTTCAACAGTACGCTGGTCAGGCGTTCTTTACCCTAGCTCGTCCCACCCACCGCGCAGGATCCCTGGGGCTCTTAGCTGGCTTGGGCCCTGCTGTCTTCACTGCAGGGCCTGGGCGACTCAGGGGTCTCTCAATTCTGGGCCAATTCGAGACACAAACGAATTCTGTACACTTCTGGGCAAAAGGTGAGAGTTCTCAGAGTTCTGTAATACACACTCACAAACACCATTTTTCGATCAGAGGACAGCAACAGCTTTTGGTAACAGCATGTAGGTCTATGATCGGCTTATGTCTGAATCGGACCCTCATCTCACTGGACTCGATTGTCTGACCATGAACTTCCATGAACTTGCTGGCGAGTGGAGAGCGTGCACGAAGAACCGGCCTTGTTTATCCGCCATCTCGGTCCGTTTGGTCAGCGCCATCTTTCCGGACCAATGGCGTCAACGAAGACGCCCACTTGGCGTCCAGTGCTTGCTTGAGGCTCTCAGTACCAGTGGGCGCTGCTTTGGGCGCCGGCACAGGGCTTTGCATAGGAGCATCGGATCGGATGGGTGATGTGGAGACAGGCGCTGGAGACAATGAAGAACTAAAAATAGACGTAGAAAAAGAAGCTAGCTTACTACTAGCGATGGCCTCCAACCTACCTTTGTGGGATGGAGTGAAGGCTTGACCAGGACACCATTTGTTGGACCAAAAGAGCTGCTGATGATGATCGACCGGGGGTGGGAGCGCTCTTTCCGGACTCCTTCACAGTCTTGGATCTGGTTCGTGCCTCCATACGTCGCCATGTGGAATAGGCCAATCGCTGATCCGAACCAGCAGAAATGGTGAACCATTGTGAAGCAGCCTATTCCACAAGGCAACGATGGTGGAGCGTCTTCAATGGCATCTTACCCCGGTGAACCATTTGCCACACAGCCATTGCCTCACAGGAGCCTCTGTGGGTGGCACTGTCGGAGCGGTGGGTGGCGTTCTGGTGGGGCAACGAGTCTTCTACAGGCCGCGTCGTCGACCGGTTTTTGGCCCGTCCGGTGCGCGCCATGGACCGAAACGGGACACATCGACGTCGAAAAACAGGTGACTGTTCGGCCGTGATTGGAGTTTTGGAGAGGACACCAACCATGAAAAGGCCACCATTTTCAGTTTTCCATGATCAATCTCATGGTCTCAAGCTTGCGACATCGTCGCGTGACTTCTGGCGTCTTCGAAAGTCTCCTCCACACGAAAGGAGCGGTTTGGGGAGCAGTGGAAAAGCGGGCTGTGAATGTTGGGATGTTCGATGTGATTTGGGCGATGGATGGCGTTCGCACTGATGTGATGAATGGATCAATTGAGGCACTGCAGGTTGATCACCCGAATTTCAGGCAGCTTGGGCGAAGAGATCTTGCCTAAAGGGCACTGGGCACTTTGTGGCTTCCACAGATTTGGGCACTTTGGGCCTTAAAAAGCTAGTAGTAGCTTCTTGTCACTAGCAGCCTCTTGTTCCTACGTAGTAGTAAGGCCAGGAGCTACTAGTAGCATCCTTGCTCCGTTCGTAGCGATGCCAGGAGCTACTAGTAGCTTCTTGTCATGTCGAACGAAAGTAGGGGCCCCCGGTCGATCGTCCTTCGACCGGATCGTCCTCGGTGCGTCGACGGAGAGGCGATCGACGGGAACAGTTTCTCCGGACAGCTCTGAGATGATTCCAGAGACTGTAGAGACGTGAGCCATGTGGGCGTTATGTGTTAATTCATGGCCCCAAATAGGGAGGCCACAGGGGACCGGCGCTGAGACGCCGAGGTTTTTCGGAAAAAGCACATGAAAAGATCGACATTAGTTACATGAGGTTCATGTCGTTTTGGCTTCGATCTCAAGACTTCTGGACTTTCCCACAACATTCGTGAAAGTGCTCCTCCCACATCAGAAGACTGCTCTCTTTCAACACATAGGACTGCTCTCTTTGGCAATCTTTGGGGGTTCTCAACCAGCAAGCGTTGCCATGTGTTGCTTGCTCAAGAATCTTTGCCAGTGGAGCTGCGTGTGAGTTGCACACATTTTAGTTGTGGTGAAGCCAAGCTAAGCAAAGACCGGAAGCAAACACACCTGGTCGATAGTAGATGGGGGCAACCTCTACTGTATTGTATGTTAGACTAGTTTTTTAAAGTTTTTTAATGTTTTATTTTTCAATCAGAGTGGTAGTTGCGGGCCATCGACTTCAGTGCCACACCTCTTTTTTGGTTGTTCATGTACAGCTCCGGCAACCGCGCTGCTTCACGAATTAGACAGATGAACTGCACTCTGGTGCTGAACCGTTCCATGCGGCAGGGTGCAGCTGACCTCAAACAGCAGAGTCCATTGGAGAGTGCCAAGCATGTTCCTGTTTGCTTGGTTCTGATGGCCTCGGTCGCTTCGCCTGCGAGTCTATTTGGACTCTGCTTGAATGGCCTCTGTTTGTTGAAGCTCCGACTTCGATTGGGGACATCAGACAAGCGGATGAAAAGGTCTCGGACGTCTAAGAAGCTGAGAGATCACATTTTTCTATATCACCTGCAGTGTTCGCAACGTTCGAAGTGGAGGGCATAGCATCCTTTGAGCATAGTTCTCCAAAAAGAGGGCACTTTGTTTCCAATCATGCTCCTTCATGTTCTACCAACACATGTTGATGTTTACTGGTGTTGTGTAGGGTCACGTTAAAGAAAAAACACACTCATCGACATCGATGGATAATCCACCACTCGAAAAAGTCCTCCAACTTCCACGGGAAGAAAAAGCCCCGGAAGATGGCCATCAAGGACCCTCCCCCCAGTGTTTGCTTCATGAACATCGCTTCGTTTGGTCACTCAAGGCCCACGCCAGATGGTTTGCCTCTGCGCCGAAAAAAACCTCTGGATTCGATCTCGTCCGCGTTTCCGATCTCGCCGTCTTCCCGTTCGCCGGAATTCTTCCGCTTTTTTCCGTACTTCGGGAGAACTGAAGATCTCGAAGCCAGGAGATATCTCGGGCGACGCCGAGTCGCTGCGGAGCCTCAAGGCAGGTCCTTCTCTCGCCCCGCTGCGCGAGCTCGCGACCAGTGCCTGCCTGCCAACCGCGCCTGCTGCGAACAGCGAAAGAGGTGGAGGTGTTTGTTAGATGCCAAACTATAGTCAAAGCTTTTAAAGGCTAGTGATGTTCTTTCGAACGCCCGGGTTCACTCCTGCTCAGGAAGTCACATCCCGTCGTTTGGATGGAGAAGATGACGAGAAAGACGACGAGAAGGAAGGGATCCTGTGACATCGTGCGGGTGTTCGATCTGAACGAATGGCCAGTGAAGTTGCCCTCCTAAAATAGTGCTTGGAATGATTCCCCATGTTATTTAAGAACATCTCTTGGACACAGGCGCAACGTGGCCTGTGTACCTTTTGTATTTGACCCCCAACAGCGCTAAGATCCGAGTTGCCCCCCAAACCCCACCCCATCCCGAAAAAGCACACACCCCAAGCACCTTGCACCGATTCAGCGACGGAAACACCCTCACCGATGCAGCGATGTCCTGGACACATCGACAGGTGGATGGGCCGGATAGTGCCATGTTGGTGGTCCAATGGACCTCTGCGCAATGGAAGGTGTGGACCAAACCATTTCGCCGCGCGTGCTTGCCGTTTTTGCTTCGCCGCCCCCCCAAAAAAAGACGTTTCGAGTTCGTTTTGGGATGGTGTTTCAGTGGTTTTTTTGGATGGTTTGGTTTTGGGTCCTTCTCTTCGGTGTGGTTTTCGGGCATGCAACAGTCGGAGAAGTGTTCTCCTTTTTCCGGAGAACAAGTCTTTTTGCCTGGGACTTATCCTGTTGAAGACCCTTCTAGTGGAGTCATGTTCCGGTATGGAACCAGTCAGTGGAAATACTATTAAAAGATACCATGACCGTGGGTAGAAGTAACAGCAAAACGACCAGGATTCCAGGTTGTGAGTCAAAACCTCCCTCACCAAACCATGGTAGTTTGACCTCGCTTATAGAGAAATCTGTTCATGGTCAGTGGTCAACCAAGGCACGAAACGGCACGAATGCTTCTCTTCATCGCACCGTTCGAACGGTAGAAGGATGCTAAACGCTTCGTCTTTCGCGGGCGAGCAGCGGAACGCGCAGCGAGTTTACCAGGCGTTCATCAAGAAGATCAAGGCTGCAAACGTGACCGAGGAGCCAAGCGAGTCGAACGCCGCGGGTTTTTGGGCCGAAAACGCTTTCATGATTTCCGCGTGTTTTCCGCGCGCCGGAAGAACAGGAAGGGTCCAGTTTCTGGCCAACGAATGGACCAATACCACCTCGTGAGGGATTTGGATGGGATTTGTGGATGACCTGTTGATTGTGACTTGTATATTAAGAGAATTTCAGTGTGGCTTTTCACGTTCGACACACGGACCAAACCGGTCCGGACCTCATAGTTTCACTGACTAGAAGGATCGTTCTTGATCGTTCTTGCCGCGGCTTTCTGGGCCGTCTCGGTTTTTCCTGGGCGTTTGGGGGGCCGACGTGGTTTGCAGGTTTCTGAGGAGTGAAGGTACAATCTGACTTGCAAAATCCCTGCCACCGACAACCTAAAGTGGGCGTGCTTAAGCACGATTTTGTCAATTTATATTATATGACTCATTTAGCAATTAAGAAAACATAACGAGACTTTTGGATAATTTGGGTACATACGAGTCGTACAAGTAAGAGGTATCAAGACTCAAACTATATGCTTGGTTGTGTGTGCTAAGCTCTTGAGACCTAAACCCATTTTGTAATAATACTTAAAAACACCCAATTAAGATGATGACACAACAGTTTCATTGAGGCTCAACAAATAACATAACATCATCAGGCATGAAACGTATCAGACAACTGCAAACGTTGAACAAAGAGCTTCCTGCCTTGATCTGCGCTTGTTTTTTTCGTCTCAAACTTTTTATATTTTGCCTACATTTCCATCACGGTTAATTTTCAAAATAAGGATGTTCATGGATTTCCAGACCCATTTTGTAATACTTTTAGCATTGCTTTTTGTTTTCTAACCTTTTAGACTTTTTTCGACTGGAAACACATCTGACCTTTTGCAATCCATTTAATATTGACAATTTTTGACATGTGAGTGTGCTTAACCTCTCTGCTCGGTGGCAACGGCGATACGAAAGTTCTTTGACCGGTGACCGATTACTTAAGTACTTGACGCAATCTTACCCACGATTCGTTTTGCCTTACTTCCGAAAGATACTCACAAAGCAAGGACCTGCGGGTTCCAGGCAACATTTCAGTCACGGAGACTCTGGAAAAGCGTTAGAGAGCGTTGCCAGCATAGGGGATAGTTTCAATCTCTCCAGCATTCTTGGCAGGGTAAAAGTGAGCTGACAGGAAACTCCCCAGTGCTGATCTGGTGTTTGTTAATGTTTTGTTAATCTTTCATCAACACCTCACAAGCATATAGACCCCCCAAATAGATCGAAAGTAGATCCCCACTAAGAATGTATTGGACACCATTTCTATCTATTTGGGCACGAACATGATTCCGTGGCTCACACCCTACACAAAATAGTACGGCACGTGGGGTGTGTCCTTCCGAGCCTTCGACTCGTCGTCAGGATGACTTTCAAGAGGCCTACGACAAGATCCCTTGCCTCATGCACCCGATGAAAGATGCCGGGCTTCCCCTTCCGACCGGATGCGTTGGTCTCTTTTGAGTGGAAAAAGGTCGAAGGAAGAGGAAGTAGGGCCTACCGTGGCGAATGGGGGTGGCTGTTTGTGTTTTTCAGGAGAATAGACGCTGGAATGGTGAAGATTTGTGTGAATGGCTTCTTAGATTATTTTGTGGTTTGGTCTTGCTTCTGGCCAAACGCATTTCTGAGTCGCTGAGTGCAGTTTCATTGACCAGCTGGCGTGCATAGGAGCATAGCAGCTTACGTGGCCCAAAGAGAGAAGCATGCTGAAACACACAAGAATAGAGCCGGGAAGAACATGCAATATACTAATAGAAATATAGAAACATCACAAAAAGAACGGCCCCAAAACAGAGCAAATGTGGCACTGTGATCACGCTTTTTCATTCACCGTCCCAAGATACCGGCCCACAGCGTCTGCCCAAAACGCGTCACTGGCCCCTCGTGCCGGTCCAAGGTGGTGCCCTTCCTGTACTTGATGCACGAGCTGGAGCTCTTAAGGAGCTTCGTCTCGTCTCGGAGGGAGGTTGCTCCTTGAAGGGCCACCCAAAACAGGTCTGGGCTCCATTTGTGTCCAAAAGCCCAGGTGGCAGACGCATGAAATCTTGGAACGAAAGCCCTAACCTGGCCTTCAAAGACCATTGAAAAAAGGGTTGACCTGGTTTTGTGGTGTCAGATCCTTGGTAAAACACTGGTTATTCCTGGTTGCTCGGTTTTTGCTGTGTTCCTTTGTGAAAGCACTCCGGCCGGTTCGGCCCAGAGAGCTGGTGGCACGTGGTGTGGACCAGAACTTGCAGTGAAATGGAGGTGTGTCACACTGAAACAGATCGCGAGATTTCGGCTTTTCTTTCTTTGATCGGCCCAACCGCGAGATCCGGATGTCAGGCGGATGATGCATACCTACACCGGTACCTTCCTGCTGATGTGCTTTGGTTGCAGACGTTGGGACTATCAGAGCGACCATGAAGAGGATGAAGACCCTTTTTCTTGTAGCACCCACAGTTTCCTCCAAGTTACGTAACTCAAGCGACAACACTGCAGTCCTTTTGACATGGTGAACATGCATTTTCAGCATTGCTTCAACCTCGACGGATTGTGTGTGGGATCCAAAGCGGATGCCACATCCCGACTGCGTCGTAAGCAGCCATGTCGTCGGTCCATGAGCCATGCGGCGACGCCTGGTTCACTTGGCTTTCTCGGATCAAGTCCCCACGACGGTTCCTCCAAACCATCGTGTAGAAACGACACTCTCCCTCCCAACAGTGGTTTGACCAGGGGCCTGGCCGGACGGCGACGCCCTTCGCAGCGATGCCCTTCGCAGCGACGCCCTTCGTGTCTTGAGGTTCCTGTTCGTCTTCACTTTGGGGGGTGGCTACTTGATGTGCGCCGAATGGAGACATGAGTTCAAAATGGAGTGACAGGTCAGAGAGGAGTTAGCTGACCTTTCTTGTTGCTGTTTCGAGGACTATGGTTGTATCATGTATGTATCATAGTTTCTGGCCCACAATTTCTATGACCCGACAACAACCATGCACGAAGTGAGATTGGATGATCCATTGCATAGAACGAGACTGCAATATTGGCAAGAAACAGAAACCACTAGCTCACTTGACCCAGCAAAAATGATGGTACCATGTTGGGTCACCTGCAAAGTGTTGGCTTTTGATCAACTTACTAAGAACGGAAAGCGCGGTTGGACGAGTTAACCCAAAAATGCTTTACTTTACCCGACTTTGCAGCAGGTACTATCAGACGGTCATGAAGAGAAGCCAGCGCAGGCCGGTGAAAACGGCCCGGACTCCTTTCATTCGGTTACCCAGGCCCCCCTGTTCGCCTGAGTAAGCATCCACCTGAGATTGGATGGTGAAGTCGCTTCGCATTTTCCAACCGAGCTGGACACTCCGAGCTCTACATGACTTCCATGTTGGAGAGGCTGCTAGATGCAGCCAGATTCTAGATGTTGGAGGCCATCGCTAGTAGGTTAGGGCTGAAGATCAGCTTATCAGATGCGGCCGTCCGCAGGGTGAAGTGGCTGGAGCCCGGCTTCTTGTCCATTTTCGTCTTGGATTGTGTCGCCCGGCAGGGTGATAGAGGGTGGGAAAGGATGCGACACAAGAACTGCTTGGCAAACTCGTGGAAAGAACCCATCCTAGCTGAAATATGCTCATGAAACGCACCAGATGATTGATCATGTTCATGTTTAATCATGTTTCACCAAACAGTTTACTGTTGGTTGATATTCCTTTAGGAACAAAGACGCTGGCCACAGTCTTTGGCCCTGAACCCTGAACTCCAGTTGTCCTCTTCTTGTCCTCCAGTCGTCCTGTTGTCCTCCTGCTGCTATCCTTTGGCCAGGTTCATGGGTCCTCTCCTCCTGGAACCTCATGGATGCCAGTCATGAATCCTCTCGCTCTCATCTCTCCTTCTCCCTCTGAAGCACTTTCGACTTCTAAGGGCTTGATTGGCTTCACCAAGAGCGCAGCAAAGATGATCGCACAGCCCGGAGTCTCATCCGTCGCGTCGCACTTCGTCGCCCGATTTGTCGCGGGTGCTGCGGGGTGCTGCGGGCGGCGGCGTAAGCCGCTGTGGCTGGTCGACCACGGTGCCTGACCGACAGAGCAATGCACTCCAATTGTGGGGAAAGGGGACATGATTTGGGGTGGTTTCAGAGGTGGTAAGACAACAACAGTTGACATGTAGCAACAAATCATCGACCTCGAAGCCACCCCTACATAAGCCACCTACATGGAGTGTCTGGGTAATGATTTGTGGTAGTTTCTCGTGCTCGAAATCTTGCGGATTCGAGCCCCTCTACAGAGTGTACCCCAACAAGGGTCACCGGAGTTTCAACCGGGTGTTTTCCAGCGAGCTGTGGAGACTCCAAAGGCAACCAAAGGCATCACTTCCTGGAAGAATGCTACTTGTCGCTTCTTGTTACTAGTAGAAATGCCAGGAGCTACTATAGTAAAAAGACAACGATTGACCTTTTCATTTTGCAGTTGAAGCGATCTCAAACGGGCGCTTGAAGCGGGCGCTCTTCAGCGATCCTCCTCTTCGGGTTTCTTGGTTGACAGCCAAATCCTGAGGCCCTGCTTGGTCACCTTCTTTTTCTGGAAGCCAGAGCGGTCCGGAACCGAGCGAGAGAGAGAGAGCCCGAGCCGAGAGGATGCCCCGAGAGCCAGGACATGAGAAAGGAAGGATGCGTTGGGTCTGTTTGTGAAGCACGAATTCCACAGTTCAGCCATCGGTATGAGGTATGAGGTATGGTGAAAAGACGGGCCAAACTTCTGCACTTGAGTGAGTCTGAGTGCAGCTGAACAAGGCAGTTGATTCTACAGATTAATGGCTAATATAGATCCTCTCTGAAGATGAATTCAACGCCTTGCAAGGACCTGACAGAATGCCTTGATAGTTCTTTGTGTCTAAAGGACACCAATGCCGCAGATGCCACACTTGTCGGGTCATAACAGGAGCCTCACTCAAACCCGACAGGGAGCCTCACTCAGACACCGTGGCTATGGGGCAAAACCGGGGGACCTGGTCCAACCGCGGTACAAAGAAGGTCAACCTTCGGTGAGCTCCGAGCTCGTGCCCTGACCCACAGCTTAGTTAAACACTTTGTCCAAAGGATCGTCCAGCTTAGGATTTTTCACTTCCAACATCAGCTTTCACCATCTCCGAGATTCTCCCCAGCTTAGGCTGGCCATCGTCATTAGGTTGCAGAAAAACTCGCTCTTAGGTCATCTATTGCAATCTGGACTCGGCTCACCTTGAATCTCCGAAATTCTCCCCAAAGGACGCTACTAGGTGGAGGCCATCGCAACTAGGGTGGAGGCCATTACTAGTAACAAGAAGCTTCTATTTGCTGCTATAACTCAAAAGAAGCTAGTAGTAACAAGTGCCTTACTAGTAGTAACAAGTGCATCGCTACTAGTTTTTCCGAGAAGCTAGTAGAAACAAGAAGCTAGTAATTAGAATTAACTAGTACGGACACTCTTTCAAGGGCCTCCGGCGCCTCGCTTCGCCGAGCGCCCAGGTGGCAGGTGCAGGCCTTCGTCGCGGTCCGGGGGCCCGAGGAGGAAGCCGGTCGCGGACGTCGGTTCTATAATTACGAATTCTTGTTTCTACGTTCGCTTCTTGTTACTAGTAAGGCCCTTGTTCCTAGTAGCGATGCCCTTTGCTCCGTTCGTAGCGTCCTTGCTCCTACCCCTGAATGCCATCGAAGATAGCTCAACACAAGCTGTGGCTTGGACAGAACATCGCCGACAAAGTCGCGCGTTTTGCCTCAATGCCATCGAAGATAGAGAGACATGTTAATGAGATGTTCTGTGATGTTCCCAGGCATGTTCGTTTATTTTGTTTTTTTGCGAAGCTCTTTCCTTATGTTGGCATGCTTCCACCAATTTTGACGCGTACAAGCTGACAGCTCACAACTTTGCTTCAGTCTGACTGCAACTGGCCTCTTGAGAGATTTCAGCAACGATGCGCTGGATGCAAACTCGACTGAGTGCGGCATCATCGGCTATCCAGTGATCTTTGTCCTCATCACTTGCTACATGATCTACGACGTGACCATCAAGCAATTCCGTCCTGTTTGTCACAAAAGGCATGACACTCGCGGATCCTCGCGCCACATCCTGACCGTCCTCCTAGACCCCCCCCCAGTCCGCTCTCAACAAGCGCCCATCTCTCCGGTCCCGGTCCGGACGTCTCTCCGGTCCCGGTCCGGACGACTCGGTGGTCGCTTCACTCGATGGAGGTCTCGGTGTTGCAGCTTTTCGTCGACCACTCGGTGTCTGGAGGAGTGTTTCGACATGGAACAAACACGAAGAACACGCGGGTTGTTGGGAGACACCGGTGTCTCCGCCATTTGGTCGCTGTGCCAGGGAGCCCACGAAAGAGGAGGCGCCGATGGAAGCGGAAGAAGGGCTCAAGACCAAGATGGTCTTCAACGAAGACATCGGCCACTCGATGGCACCGATCGACCTGTGCGGTGCACTCGACCGGAATGCGGAATGCGGTCGGCAGCGAAGAAGCGCGGTGGTTGTCAGTTAAAAACATGGTGGTTCATTCGTGTTTATTGATGTGTGGATCCCTCCGGGACAGGTGGTTTCTGGTACTAGCTACTTGCAACACTTGGAATGGAGTTTGAGTGGTTGACGCTTTGCACGTGGGCCCCGACTTCCGTTAGAGCCAGCCGGGCACGCTTCTAAAGAAGCACCCGGTTGGCGCTTTCTGTTCTTTTTGCTTTGGTACTGTTTGCGTGCCACGCGGGGTCAGCGGCCAAGTATTCGGGCCAAGTGTGGATCCTTCCCCATCTTTTTTGTTTCAATCCACAGGCTGATAGGGGAACCGACCGGCGGTCCGAGCACCAAAACACCAAAACCGTCGTGTTCAGCGCCCAAAACTGTGTCGTGCCTGTCTCACTCCTAGAACAATGGATCGATCCAGCTGCGAGGGAGATCAAGGCGGGGTTGTGGAGGATTCTGTGAGTGCAGGTTGAGATCAACTCACCGATATAAGGGGTCCAACTTTTTGGTGGATTTTGTCCCCGGTTTTTCCAAGATAGAGGGAAGGTGACTTTTAATCCCAGGCTCGCAGGTCAGCTTGGGTGATAGACACGACGAGCATCTACGAGCTGCATTCTGGATGAGAACTGGGTTAATATGCTTACACACTTTTCTCACTTTCGATTCTCCCTTAGCTTGTCACTTTCAACGCCGGGTGGAGGACAAGCCACATCACAACTGCTGAAATCCACCTTTCGGGGATGACGCAGAGACCGGACGACCATTGAGGAGACCATGAGTTTCATCTCGCTTCTAGATTCTAGATGAACACTTTGCAAAAGGAATCCAAGAATTGCAAGAGGAATCCAGCCGCCCTGTGATGATTTCACATGAATGTCTGTGCTTTTCCCCGGCGCCGGCGCTGGTTTCCCCGGGCAGGTGACCTTGGAGCCGCCGATTCCCTCCTGGATCCCGGCCTGGGGGACCCGAGAAGCGGCGGGACGAGCTCTGCTCAGCAGCAGGTTTCGTCTTTTTTGTCCTAAAAGCTCAGGTTGGAGGCCATCGCTACTAGTAGCAAGAAGCTACTATGCCAGACACTCCATGTATGCCATATATACCTACATTGGGGTGGTTTGAGGGGTCAATGGGGCGGCATATATGGCAGTCCCGGAGTGTTTGGGATATGAATACGAAACTTATTCAATCCAGTTTGCAAGTTTGAGTTGGCCTCGCTGGGCTAGGCGGAAGTCTTCCGGTGTGGTCGGCTCCACCACGCCCCCCCTCCTGCGATTCGGGTGGATTCGACCTCCTCGATGCTGACAGCACCCTACGTTGACAGAGCGAGCAAAGCCCATGACGTTGACAGCCAAAAAAGGCCCGTGAAGCTGGGCACATGATTGGGGAGCTGTTTGACATGCGAGCTGTTTGTGGGTTCAAACCAGCAGTGGCTTCGCCAGAAAATCTCGCCAGCTTTACCCAGAAAGAAATGACCTTAGTGAAGAATCCCATTCCACAGAGGCCCCTGAACCTTTGAGAGTGAATCCATGTTTGAAGCGCTTGCTGCTCGACTCCTGGTTCGCAACAAATCAGGAGGCGCGTTGTTCCACAGAACCCTCGATCCGACGAGAAAAGTTTCGACGCGCCGCAGAAAAGCGAGGTCCTGGGTGATCTCATCACCAGCCACGTGCGTCCGGAGTCCAGGATGTTTTGGGAGAAAGAGGCCATGGAGAGAGGCCAAATGAGGTCAGATTGGTAGTAGGTTGGAAGCCGTCAGATTGGTTGCTGTTCCCACGGTCATGGCCCAGTCGATGAAAAACTGGAGTGGCCCCGTTTTTGAATGACCATGAACTCCGAAGACCAAGCAGGTGGCGAACTCACTCCACTCCGGTGATTTCAGGGAGTGCTCAGCTCCCTGTTAAACTGCGGTGCTTCATCTCCCTGGGCGGCAACCCCATCACGTTCTCAGATCCTGCTGTGAACTAGCAGAACACCAATGCTCTTCAAGACGAACCTGGACCGGGACCTTTACCCTATATAGTCCTTACATCCACCAAAAATTCTTGCATTATTTTGATCGTCAAGCATGCGCACAGAAAAAGGCACATCCTATAGATATATATATATATATAAAGGGGCCCTTGGTCATTCGTGCACAGGTGTTTGCTCGACTCGAGACCATGTTTTTTTACTTCCCATTTTGTGGGTCGTTGATCTCAAAGACCGAACCAGCTGCTCCTACTCTTCAGATCCCATGTTTTTCGAAGGGGACCACAGATCCTGCAGCTCGGTGCGCCTCCCATCCCACGGACCTTGTTGGGTCTCGGACGCCGCGCCGTTCGCCGGACCGAGGTTCCTGCATCCCGGTGCTCACGCAGAATGGCAACCCGATCAGCTTCCGGCGTCTCGGTCAAAGGTTGACCCGGGTCGAGTCCGGCGTCTCGGAGGGGGTGCCGACAACACCCCGAGGACGATAGAGATTCTGATGGCAAATGAATCACTCCCTCAATAGCGATGCCAGGAGCCCCGATCGTTGCGTCCGAACGCTCCGTTCGTAGCGATGCCAGGAGCCC